TCGTGGGAAATTCTGTTCCCCGGGTATTGTTTCGTCGAAGAATTCGAAGGAATTTTAAAAATGGGTTCTTCCTAGGGAGAATAGAAAATTTAGGATTCGTGAATTTTTAAACAAATAAGAAATGGTGGGATGTTACTTACGTAAGAGATATTTTGACAGAAATAAAAATATGTATAATTTGATTTATGATTGAGATTATATAAAAATATAGGCCAACGAGTTGTTCCATAATTCTTGTATTATTTTAAGAATTAAGAGATAACTTTGAATCGTTATATCTTGGCAACGATTGAGATGTTGGAAGAAAATAAAAATTTTAGTGGTTTTCTCTTTTCAAGTACTTTAATTGAATTAATTAATTTTTCTTATGTTCATGTTATAATATATATATATATATTTTGCAAGATAATTTATATTTTTAGGTCAACATATAATAATCTATTTTGAATTATACATGAACGTGTCAAATGCTCGAGCTAGTGCTCCAGTTCGTTGCATATTAGGTCTCGTAGGTCTCAAGAGTACAAGGAACATGGAGAATTCTCTCTATGTAACGTTCTCTTGAAATCTACATAGATTTAAATACCAGTTTGTCAGAATTTCTTTAACCATATAAGTAAATGTTAATATTACATTTCATTATCACGTTTCAACAGGGATTATAAACACTGTACAAAATCGTATTCCAATGCAATAACTCTTATCGTCAATTCCTTGTTCGCTAAATTTTTTCATCACGATAAGTTGAATCCATATTCCAAGAATAATTCAATTTAAAAAATCGATTTTTAAATTCAATCCAATAATATAAAATCCATTTCTCTGATTAATACACATTTCAAACGAAAACGAATTGCAAAACTCTTTTTCTTTAATAAAATCGAGTTATCGAAAAAAATTATTTTCCATTCGTCTCGAAACGCGTTTTCCATCGATTTCATTCGCACGTTGGATACGCTTAATTTCACCCGACACGGTTGGAATTCACGATGAAACCCGGGATATTTCGAGCTCGGGATATTTCGTGTTATAGTAATTTTGTGGAAGGCAAGACGCGCTAATGTCGCCACCACGCGTGGATAAAGCCAACACGCGGGAAATATGCAGTCGACCGTTGGGATAGACACGCGTATTACCGAGTGGCTGATCATACCGCGGCCGAATCTACTGCCGCTTCTATCATTGAACGTACTACTGTTATCCAAATGAGAATCCACGGGCAAACGAATCGATACGCGGACTCGTTTACTATTTGTTCCACATTGGATTTCGTATCTGACGGAATATTTTGGCGTAAAGTGGATTATTCTTCGTTCTCGTTTTTATATTGATATATTATATTTTAAACATTCGATATTTATTTATTTTACAAAGTTTTTCAATCTTTATTTATGTTCAATGGACGATAATTTTTTTTTAATTTTTAAATCAATACGCAATTTATACACTATATTTGAAAATATGTTTTATATTATTTGTATGGATACATTTATATCAAGTAATAACAGTTCATATTTGTTTTTTTCATTGAATTTTTTTACATCATTATTATTGTATCATTTTTTTAATATTTTTTTTCTTTGTTGCCGTACTGACTGACGGTGCAAAATATGCATGTATAAATACGCGTGATTTATTAAGAGTAATTTTTACTTGCTATGGTAATTAACGTGAAGAAGAATAAAATGGAAAATAGTGTAGTCTTTTAATCCCATTATGCTCGAATTTCGTTCTTGATATTAATTTATCACCGAGGAGGAATGTAAAAAATACCACCACGAAATATTTCCTTTCCTATAAATAATTATTATGATACAAAAAAAAAAAAATGAATAATTTATGATATACATTTCTCTAAAATTTAAAATTTTATGCAAAAATTAATTACAGGATTTTTTTAAATTTTAAAAGTTTCATCACGTGTTTTTTTTTTTAAACAAATTCACACATATGATTAAAAATCAATGGAAACGTAATCAACGAATTTACTTGATTTTTAAAACAGTGAAGTATTTTTGAAAAAAATTGGAAACAAAAGTAAAAACAAAAAAAAAGAAAAGAAGAATAGATAAATTATAATATAGCTCGTGTTGCTTTTAAATTGGCCGGTATCGCGCAGCAATAAAGTTAAAGTTCCATCATTGTTCGAACAATCGCACCAGTGTCGTACGTTAAATGCAATGTCCCCAAACTCGATTTATGGCTTGCAACTGCATTAATCAGAGTGGTAGATCTTCCCCCTGTAAATTTCAATCTAAATTCATTCACAATAAAAGATAACGAAAAGATAACATTTTTAACATATATCGCGATCGAGAATATACATCGAGTCTATTAATATTCCATATTGCCTAATATAAAATATTCATTCATTTTTTACTTGCGATATTTACGAACATAATAAGCATGAAAAAAATGATATAATATTATATCACATATGCTAATTGAAAAACTAGTAATTTTGATAAAATAATATATAAAAATAATATTCTATTTTAATATTAAATAAATAAATTTAAAAAATTTTAAACTTGGAATTATGATAAAGAAAAGATATTAATACAATTTTTATTCTTCTTCCTTTTTTCTACATTTTTTTATATTTTTATAAAATAATTTATTTGTTATAATATAATAATAGAAAATAAAAAAAAAAGAAATATCGATTGAGTATTATCGAAATTAGATGCAGATTGGCCGATCACGCTTATAACATCGTTATATTGTCCGACCAAAAATACACACAAGTATCGTGCAACTTGGTGTGTGGAACTATCAAAAGTTTATTTTTGATAAAATAAACCGATTGAAATTTAAGTTTACACAAACAATTTTGAACGAGGTCAATTCGCCTGTTTGACCTAACCTAAAAGTTGCCTCTAATGTAAACGAGGCTTCACTGCATGCATAAACATATCATAAAATTCTGCAGGCATCCTCGAAATTTTTGATTTATTTATACCTCCTCTTATTTTTATCTTCTAGTTTCGAGAGAAATTATTTATTTCTTTAAATGATCAAATATATATATTTCAGGAAAAGAGAATTTTAAAAAAAAATTGACTAGTCAAACTTGAAAAGAAAAAAATCTCGATAAATATATTTTCAAATTCTATATTAACTTATATAATCATAAAAATTGTAGCAAATCTATAATAATTATCATAGATATATATACTGTAATTATTATTATAATTAAACCAATATTTCACAAATGAACAAAACATAAATGACACAAGTATCTCCTTTTTAAATAACAAAAATAGAATTTATGGCATATTGGATTATTTGAAGTTTTATATATTCCGAACATTAATGCCTTTTCCTTCTACAACTGTTTACAAGCATTACACTAGCTCGTAAAATCGTAAACACGATGGAAAGTTGTGTGCAACACAATGGTATATATACATATATATACATATATATATATGTATATACACGCTATATTTACCATTCAAGCAAATTTGAACCACTTGTGTAACTTCCCATTGTAGTTGTATACCACGTCTATTTCGTTTGTATTATTTCATCCAATGTTTGTCCTATATGGTTTTCTTACCGTGTTCGTTAACATATACACGAGGAGGGGAGAAGGAAGAGGGGAAGAAGAATGGTCGCAAAACGAGGGCAATCACATTTAAACGAAAGCAGTTACAAGGTTGGTAACACAGAGAGAAATGAACAATTAGTTGAGCAAGCTCAAGTTTTCCATTGCCCTCCCTCTCTTCCCTAAAAGTTATCTTGCGATCCAAATTTCTGAA